TTTGAAGAAATCTTTCTTTTTATGGTTGCTAGATGCCATCTTGTCTTCTAGATCTAATACTCGGTCTTCACCTTAGTGCAGACAATTGAGTATTTTTTTCAGTGGAGTTTTTGATCTCCTGGCTATCTGAATCGTTTCATGGATTCCATTTCTTTCCTATGTTGTGTATTCATGGTTTTGATCATTCTTCTATGCCTTTCTATTTTTGTTAATCTGTGTCTTTCCTATATTCATTGAGCAAGTCCTTCATTTTGTTTGTCATCTCTTTTTTTTATGTGAGAAATTATTTCTGTTCTGATTTTCTGTATAGCTTCATGCATCTTTTTTTTTTTACTTTTGCTGTCATTTCAGAAAATTCATGTGAGTGGCTGCTGATTTCCTCTACCTTGTCCCCTAAACTTGACCTGGGTGGGCTGGAGGTCTGCAGTTCCATTTTGCTTCTGCATGCTTTCATTTTCTATTTTTATATTTTAATTTGTTTTCTGTTTTGAAACTTGTAAATTTCTTATGGTATATAACTTTATCATTATTATTGAGGCTTCTCTAGGAAATATCTATTCCTCAGAGATGACTTCTAGGTGTAGCTGGCTCTTGGTCTTTGCAAGATTCTACCTGCCCAATCTATTAGAGATGAGAAGTTGCTATTTGGCTCAGCACCCAGTCCTTTGGTATTGGACTATGGTGATGGTTATGACCCCAGATAATCACTGTGTCCTCACACAAGGGAGAACAACTAACTACAACAGGTTCGGCATCCTGGTTAAAGTAGTACAATTAGCAATAATAAGCATCAGGCACAGTCTAGAAACTGAAAAAGTGTGGTATCTATCTATTTGGTACCTTTAACTATAGGAGCAAAATCCACATAAAACAAGATCTTGTATGCACTGAGTTTCCCCTTGGTACAGTGATTTTATCCTGTGGGGGAGAGAATCTAAGAAGGATAGAGGACAAAACAGAAAGATAAATGAAGAAGACTATAGTATAAACAAAGTTGACAGACAAAGGATGATCACCCAAGCTTTGGAAAACAGGAGGACAGGAGAGAAATAATGAAGGAGAAAGCAAAAGAATATCAAAGCAAACTAGAAAGACTGTGAAGCAATGTTTCATTTGCATGAAAACAACAAAAAAATTAAGAAAGACAGTTGAGGAAATAGAGAATCAAGACAAACAAAACAAAACTAGCAATCAAAGTAAAAACCTAAACAACCAAGAAAAAAAAAACTCCAGATAAATGAAAATGAAAGAAAGAAGAAAGAAACAAAGAAAGAAAGAAAGAAAGAAAGAAAGAAAGAAAGAAAGAAAGAAAGAAAGAAAGAAAGAGGAAAAGTAAGAAAGATAGTAAAATTCCTCTGATGCCCACAGATCTATGGTAGTGTTTGAGTCAGAGCCCAAATCTGTGTCACCAAGACTTCAGTAGGAGTAGTGCTGGGTACAGGCTTGTACTTGGCCTATGAATATCCCCGATGTCCCGATGTCTTCCGTCCCACCTTCCTTTCAGCACCTGTGTCCACCCTAGTGCCAACCTGTACATATAGCTTTTCTCTAATTAGAAAATTCCCAAAAGAATCTTCTTACAAGAAAGCACGATTAGCAATGTAGACATTAGTGAAGATTTTATAGAGGAGTCTTGGGGCTGGGGATTTAGCTCAGTGGAACCCACCTGCCTTGCGAGTGTAAGGTCTTGCATTCGATCCCTCATACCAAAAAGGAAATAGATTTTATAGAGGGGTCTTAAGAAACACATTTCTGTTATTTTCCCCAAATCCTTCTGATTATCTTGCCTTGATTTATTTTAGTACTCTAAATCAAAGGTCAGCAAACGTCTGTAAGAAAGTTAATAGTAAATACTTTCAACATTACTGGCTATGAAGTTGCTGCTACGTTTACTCACCTCTGTCATGGAAAGAGAATAGACAAATGTTCATGACTGTACTTTAATAAAGAATTATTTAAAAGAATAGGTGGCTGCCAGGGAGCTGGAAAAATGAATGAGCTGGAAAACTGGTTTCTGAGCAAAAAGTTTTTCCTGCGACTAGCTGACCTAACTGACAAAGAGCCACTCCCAGCTCATACCCCCTCCCACACCTAACACAGGTCTCAGGTTGCCTGGGCATGTCCTCCTTCATTGTCTTTTATTCTCAGTGTCTGTACCTTCAAGATGATGTAATCCCTGCTCTCCCTCCATATGCAAATGAGATAAATTCCAGTGTGCTTTTCTACCCAATCATGTAAACTAAATGTAACTACCTCAACCAATGAACTGATGTTAAGTGCCTTGTTTCTGTATTCCCACCCCTCTTCCCTTGATCCATATAAACCCTGTTCACTGCTAGCTCCAGGCTGATCGCTTTGTGGAGAAATCCCCTATCTGCCCACTTGCCTCCAACCCCCTGGTTCATTCTCAATTCTTCCTGGCCTGATCCCACTAAACCACTAAGAGCTGTAACACTGTGGACTTCAAGTCTGCTGCTACACCAGGCCTGGCCTGTGGGCAGCAGTTCACTGACCCTGCTCCAGACCTTTCCCATTCTCAGTGAAGTGTCAGTGTGGCTCAACTCCAATGTCCAGTTTCATCAGTGTAGCCCCAGCCCAACTGAGGGCTCTTAGTTAAGATGACAGGACCCTCCCTTTTCAAAGGGCAATTTAGTTGCATGTTGTGTTGCTTAAACACACACAAGATGAGTCTGTCCTTCAAATATACCAATACTTTTTAAAAAGTATTTTATACTACATCCAGTGATCATTATAAAAGAAATTTAGATGCATAAATATAGATCAATTTCATTCAAAATATATTCCCAATCTGCATAAACAATAGTATTTTCATAGCCTACAGCAATAATTGAGGTTAGAAAGATGGCTTAAGATACAGAAAAACTAGTGCTCATACCCACATTACCCAGCCACATGACCCCAGGAAATAACTTTATTATGCCTCCTTCTTCTCACCTTTACCATGAGGACAGTACTCTACCTGCCCAAAGGCCAGAGTCTAGACCAGAAGATCTTATGGAGGTTCTTTCTGAAAGTCATACAGGTTATTTCCATACCCTATGTTTTCAAATGACTTCAGAATTCACAGGGGTGCTTATTAAAACACAAACTCTTGCGCCTCAGCCTGAATGTCTGATTCAGGAAAATTAGGAAGGTTTTAAGTTCTCCCAAGTATCCAGGGGATGCTGACACTGTTGCTGGTAGGCCAGGGACCACACTTTGGAAATCACTGGTTTTTGTGGTACAAATCTTACATCTCATTACATGGGGACACAATGAAAAGAAAGGTAGGCTACAGCTCATTCCTCTTCATTTGTTCAAGATAGGATTTCCTCTTGAAGGGAAGGGTGATTTGGCTTGCCTGCTGAATGTCAGCTTCTAGAGCCACATATCAACAGCTCATTACAGGGTGGAAGGAGGCTGGTGATCAATCACAGAAGTGCATGCTGGAACTTAGAGGCTCAACTGGGCAGCCAGATAGCTATCTGGGGAAGTGGGGGACAGTGAGCAGTGAGAGACAAAAATGTTATCACTCAATTTTTTGGCATAAGTCACTGCTATGGTTTATATCTGGAGGTCCCCCCAAAGCCCCATGTGCTCAGAGGTGGGGCCTGTGGAAGGTGATTGGATTAGGGAGGTGCTACAGCTGGCTTGGTGTTGGGAAGTAGGGGGCAGTCAGAAGAGGTAGGTCACCGGAGGCATGACTTGGAAGAGCACATCTCCCTCCCTAGATGTTCCTTTCCCTTCCTGCTTCCTGGTTGCCATGAGGTGAGCAGCTTTCCTCTGCCATGCCCTTCTACCATGCTGTTTCTTCTTGGGAGCTGACCAACCATGGACTTTAATGTAAGTCAAAATAGACCTCTCCTCCTTTAAATTATAGGTATCTGGTATTGTATCTCGGTGATGAAAAAATGAATAAGACAGCCACCCTTCTAGAACTTCTTTCCATAAACATCAAGTTAACACAAGATCTGAGTGAGAGCTGGCCATTCAGAGGCCTGGCACCAAGTATTACATAATGCGCAGGCTGGAGTGCAAGAAGAAGATGACCAAGAAAATGCAGACTGCCTCTTGGGACTCTCAGCGTCACAGGGAAGGTGAATTTCATCTATGTTCACACCCTTGGCAGTTTATGTTGAGACAAATAGATAATTATATCATTAGGTCGTGTGGCATTAGAGACAGAGTGTGCTGCTAAACTTGAAAGATCTGGGCAGGTTTGCCTGGAGGAGGTGACATAGGCTCACCTTACCTTGGAGGGACTGGAAGGATTGAAGGGTGGAAAGGTGAGTAAAACATGAAAGGTGTCCTAAGTGAGCCTGCAATATTAGCAAAGAAGGCCTAGGAGTGACCAAGGGGAGTATCAAACCTGTCTTTTTCGCTCCCAATATAAACTCTTCAGGGTCATGTCCATTTCTGTGTCTCTGTTTCCTTATTTGAAAAATGAAGGATTTGGGCTAAAAAAATCACAACTTTCCATATTTTGTTCATCTTGGAGAGACTCCAGGGCCACAAAGTGTGAATGACCAGGCTGGGCTCAGTTCTTCCTGTACCACCTCTGCTACAGTCAGAGCAGTTCTTCTTTCTTACATTTTTATACTCCCTGCAGAGTTTTGTTTCCAGAAAGGCTTTGAAAACCACTCACAAGGAACTCTGTAAAGGTTTTTCTATTTGCATATAGGTTGGGTTGTGGATTGCTGGCTTGGCTGGCCAATTCTGGAACAGCTGGAAAGCAAAGGGGTAGGAAATCAGGAGCCATAGAAGGTTTGTGTATAGAGTGAAATTGGCCCCACAAACCGCTAGACACTGATCTGGAAATCTCAACTGTTCAGAAGGTTCTGAGTAAAAACAAAGGGTGATTTTCCCCCTTGTCAGCCTTCTCTCCCGGGACACTGTACAATATGCAAAACGAGTAACTGTAAGACAAACATTTTTTTCCATTGCCCTTCGCAGCCCCACGGCCCTTCAGGAAGACCTGAACTTCAAGCAAAGCCTTTTTATTTTTCAACACCCACAGCTTCCATTTAACAATCAGAAATTTTCCACTCTGATCAAAGGGGTTCAACAGAGAGGGCCAAGGGCACAGCCTGTTCTCAGCAGCCTTGGGCAGATCAAGAGGCCCTGCTACCCACTCACTGTCCAAGCCCACCAGAGGACACAGACTTCTCCCTGGATCAGTTGCGCACACATGAAACACTGCTTTGCCTCAGACCCACCTCCAGCAGTGGACCAAGTGAATGTGCACACACATGCCTTCCTAAACGGAGCTCAATTCAGGACCAAGGGGACCTCAGGTTCCTGGATTATAAAACAGACATACTGCCTACCACTCTACTAGGCCCAAGAAAACAACTCATCAATTCATCATGTACCTCCTTCATATCAGAATTTATTATTTCATGGATTCCCTAGGAAGTATATCCGACCAATTCCTAAGTTGAAACTAGCTCAGAAGTTAGGCATCTGTGCAATGCTGCAATGGTAATAAACCAAACTTGGCTTTGAACATGGGGCATTTCCTTAGTGGATTCTGGCTCCCAGCAAAAAGTGAGCAGAAAGGGACCAGGTGCTACCAAGAAGGGGCCACCTCCAGGGTGACAACAAATTAAGTTTTCCAAAAGCCACATCTAGAGGTGGCTGCTGTGCAGTGATTAATATTTTCAGTGTCGTCCTGACACATAGATCATTAGTAACTATAAATATGACTCAGCTCTGTGTCCCAGGAAATCTGTTATATCTAAATTCCAGACGTGGCCCTGGAGACTACTTGGGATGTTTAACAGGAATTGTCCAACACCATCTGCCAAGTCAATTCCCATTTATGAAGTGGTCTGACATCATTTGGCTTGATCTCCATGATGACTATAATGCAGAGAGAGAAAGGAAGAGCCGTAAGGACTGAGACAAGTACCCAGAGCTGAAGGGGGGAAAGGTTGACACTGCACCTCAGCTGTTCAGCCAGCAAGTGCAGGGAAGGTTGGACTACTCAGTGCAGGCTTTGAGGGGGCCCTGACAGGTTCGAGCATGCAGCCAAGTTCCTTCCCACTTTGACACTTGCAGCTTTTATTAACAATGTTTTCTCATCTTCAAAGAAGAAATGCCATGTGGCTCAGAGGGAGGAGATAAGGATGGAGTGAGGCCATAGGTCACGCTCCCAGGACTGTGCCTGAGCCTACAGATGTTCAGTAATCACTAGTCACACACACACACACACACACACCACACCCCACAAACACACCTACACCACATAGGCACCCCCACGCAGTGCACTACATGGGACACTTTTCACCCTCTGTCCACACCACAGCACCCCCTAATTCCTTCCCCCTTTTCAGCCTTATGGAAGTCCTAAGGTCATCTGCCTGTTTAACAGATCCCAAAACGCCCAGCAAGAGTTTTTGTACAAAAGCTCAAATTTTCCAGATTCCTGTCCCCTCCCGGGACTTTGAACCTGCCCCCCAATTTTTTGCTGCTGTGAATGAATCTGCACAAGTGTGAGTTCTTTCTTCCCAGACAGTGGGTGGTACCTCCAGCTCCCAGAAGATGCCAGTGTTATCTGACTCAGCCCTGTGGCCACTCTACTGCCGTCCAAGGAAAGTAGCTTCCCAGACCTGGCAAGGAGTTTTATCTGTGAGATCTTCTGAGCCACGGCCTAGCCAAAGACCATGCAGCCTTTCAGGCAGGAAGGAGTCTGTGGCTGAATCTGAACGAAACAGAAGTTACTTCAGGCACACACACACACACACACACACACACACACACACACAGAGGGGAACTGTCATTTTCCTATGTGCTCTCTGACATCAGCCACCTTCTCTCTAGTGACAGTTTCTCTGCACTCAACTGAATCCCAGGCGACGAAAAATGAACCTCTCCCCCACCCTTGCTGCCGCCGCCTTTTGCCTCACGCCCCCAGAGAAGAGTTTCTCCACCAGGCAGCCGGTGAAGATTTTTTTCCAAGTCACATGATCCAGGATGCAGGGGGAAAATCCTTCTTGGAACAGAGATGGGCCCAGAACTGAATCAGATGAGGACAGATAAGGTGTGATGCAGGGAAGACTATATAAAGAATGGACCCAGGGCTGCAGCACGCACGCACGCAGCCCAGGGGCCCCTTGCCCAGACCCAGCCATGCATGTGCCCCCTGGCTCTGTGGCCAGCCACTTGGGAGGAACCAGCCGCAGATGCTTCTACTTCACCATCGCCACACTGGCTCTGTGTCTCGTCTTCACGGTGGCAACCATTATGGTCCTGGTGGTTCAGAGGACGGTGAGTGGATTGACCTGCCTTGGTTTCCCTTTCTGATTTATGTTCTGCTTCCTCCAGAAAAAGGGCTCTGGAAACAAATGAATACACTGTTAGTTGGGAGCAAAAAAGTGAAAATAAAAATAAATAAAAGAAAGAGGAACTTTACTCTCTGAAATAAATTGGATTTTTGAGGGAAACATTATTGGACTATCCTCTCAAAACTTTCCAAGCCTACATGAGCCAAAAGAATGGAGAGATGCTATTTGCCTTGAGAAATGAAGGTTTAAATCCCGCTGAGCCCGAGACTCATTGTACCAAGGAAGAAAGCACTGGGGAAATGGAGAGTTTGTTTGCACAACTTGGTATTGCGTCTTTAAGGTCCTCAGAGGAGATTCCAGGGGTCTGTAGTTTTGGTTCAATAGTCCAAAGGTTTCTGATGCCTCACTTATTGCCAAGAGGTTTTTTTTTTAATGCTGTTGTGTTTGTTTGTTTGTATTTAACAAAGAGCTAAATTTCTGAAGCCAGTGGCTAGCAGGAAATACGGCAAGAGAAAAGGCCAGGGTTTCCCTGAGCTTCTGGCATTTCAGCATTAAAACCCATAAAACAAATCGAAAGCTTCCTCTCAAGCCACTGCTTGGGAGAGCTCAGAGCATCACAAGAAACATAGATCAGTGAGGCAGAGAATAGAAATGTTTTTGACACCTGTTCCCTCTGAGACATCTCAGAATATTAAGTCATCGTGGGGAACAGGGTGTGTAGTGTCAAACTGTCTGGAGATATTTACTTTATTTGAAGTAAGGAGTAAGATTTGCTTGTGAAAACAGAAGGGATGAAGGAAAAAGCATCTTCATAGTTTAGAAAATCAGTTTCTACAGAGAATCCATTAGTTAATAAGGAAAATATTGCACTACCATATCTATGGCTCATTTGTTTTGGTAAAGTTTGGCTAATGTGGTTCATGTAAGAATTACAGCCAAACACACACCCATCCTGCCAAAGTGAGAGTTTCTGTTTATGACTCCCACGTGTCATGGTGTTAGAATCCTGCAGAATTCGCTCTGGTTTTTCTTCCGTTGTCTCAGACCAAATGCTCTATAATTCTTCAGTTGTTAAAGAAGAACTTGGCTTTAAAAGGCTTTGATATCTATTTCCCAAGGATCTTCCAGCTTTGAAATTTAAATGAAGCTTTGAAGCTCATATTTCAGTATAAGTGAAAAAAAAAGAGGGAGTTGAGAACATTTGATTTGGATGGAGGAATTTGTAAAACTCATCATTTGATAGGCTCGTCTCCATCTAATAATGGTGTTCTAGAAACATCTATGCCACCTTTCCTTCAGTGCAGACCATAATTTGTGTGATTGGAATTTTGAATGAAGCAGAAGTGTGTTGGTCAGAGAAAGGAACTGAAGTGTCCTTGAAGGAGTGCTTTGGGGGAAGGATGCAGGCAGAACTTCTGGGTGTGGTGGGGAATTGTAGTGAGGGGAGTGAAGAGCAAGAGATTGTTCCAAAGTAGTCCTGGAATCCAATCTGGAGTCAAATTGGAAGAACTATGTCCTTTCAATTCTAGTTCTATGAAAGAACTAGAGTGGGCCTCTCTGCCTTATTTTTATAAATCCAGAAAATGAAGCCCAGGGGGAGGATGGGCTCGAACTAGACCACCCCAAGAAAGTGCTAATGTCAAGACTGCTTGGTTGCTTTTGAGAATTCCATTCCCTTTGCAGGTATAGATGGCCCCGGAAGTATCGAGAAACTCTGTTCCCACTCTTCTCTTGGAATTTTACCTCTTATGCATCTGTTTCCTTGACTTACCCTTCATGCTTGGATATGAAAACACACACATCATAATTTGATTCTAGGCTTTGCTCCTATGCCTTCTCTTCCTTTTCTCTGTGTGCATATGTGTATGTGAGGCTGAGGATTGAGCTCCCCTTTTTTATTTTAAAACAGGGAGTCATTGAGTCATTAACTTGCCAAGGCTGGCCTTAAACTTGCAGTCCTCCTGCCTCGGCCTCCGAGAGTGCTGGGATTTTAGACATGCACTACTCTATCCATCTGTGCTGTGACTTTTTTTAACACATGAAATCTCAGTTACCTGTTCCCAAGCTATGGCTTACAATACTAATAATAGTTGTGATATTATGTGTCAAATACTTTACATATACCACTTAAAAAATTTATCAGACATTCACTGTGTTAAGAACAAGGAAGGTATAATCCCTGCAGCCTGAGTTATCAAGGAAGCATCTGATAAAAAGAAGGAATATAGACTGATCTTAGAGAGGGTGGAACTTAGTGAAGAGGCTGAAGAAAGCCAAGACACTTAAGCTCACATCCTGTTATTAAAACCAGCAAGGGCTGAGGGCTACAAAGCTCCTTTGGGGTGTGACAGGGACAGGAGTGGCAAACCATGAAGATGGTTTTACTGCTATAAGAAGTCCCACAGTTCTTGATGAAAGGCCACATCCATAGACAAAATTTTAAATAGCTAAATCATAGCATCTAATAAGCAATGCAAGGTGGGCACATAGCGCTACCCTAGATCATAAGATAGGGAGAGAGTGTGTTTCTCCAGCAGGTCTAAGAACTCACTGGAGATTGGAATTTCAAGTTGGCTTGAGAAACATGAGTAATTTCTAAAGAATAGGTAAGGGAGGTCAGAGCACTGTTGCTCCTGACTAACAGCAAGGGGCTGGAGGAGAGATGGTATGGGGGTGTAGGATCATCAAAAGATTGCCTTGAGGTTTGGCCTGAAGATCAAATAACTCCAAGGTCAAACTCCATGGGAGAGACAAAAGGAGGAACTTAGGTTTCAACCTCAGATATTTATTGGGTATCTACTATGAACAGAACATTGTACTAAGCACTGGGTATACAGCCGATAAAACCAATAAATCCCTGCTTTTGCATTGTTTAAGGAGCTTTCTTTTGGCGATACATTTAAAGTTCCCGTGGGGGTTGTACTTTTATTTGTATTTAAATCTGTATGTTGTCATGCAATATTACATTTACATTAAGCAAAGTAATGAGCAATTAAGAGTAAAGGGGAAAAAGCAAATCTCTCCCATTCTTCCCATCAAACCACCAATCCCTCTTTGTTGAAATAACCACCATGAACAGATTCTCATGTGTCCTTCCTTAAATCTGAGTATCTACAAATATGTAGTCCACATGTCATTCTAATAAACCTATGATTTTGTACCTTGCTTTGTCTACTTGACAGTGAGTCTTAAAGATCTTTCCATGTCGATGTGTAGAAGTCCATTTAACTTTGTTAAAGAGTCACCTAGTATTCTGTTGTACTGATACATCAAAATCTAGTAAATGTGTGCCTAGTGAGAGGAAAAACTTCTGTTTTTCTCTAGGATTATTGCCCTCTGAGTGCACCTACAATTATATCTGTAGGATAAATTCCTAGAGGTGGAAATTGAATGTTTATTTTCACCTCAATAAATGTCGATCAGCCTTCAAAGAGATGGTAGCAGTGTCCCATTGAGGAATTAAAATCCTGCAACAGAGAGACACAATGTCACATCAATATGGAAAGAAAGAAAATTGATTACTGAGTCAGCACAAAAGGGTTGGAAACTAGGCAGCCTGAGAAAGACTACAGAGTTCAGGAAGGATTTCACACAATGTATACAGCAAGGCAAAAGAAAAAAACCCAGCTTCTCTCATCTCCTTATAAGAAGGAAGACACAATGAGACGGGCTTCTGGGTTATACCAGAGAGAGGTGCTTACATTTCAAGGCGGCCTTGAAGTCCTCAACCTTAGAGACTGCTTGTTCCCTTGTCCTGTCAGGAGAGACAGGACAGACAGTCACATTCCAAAAGGTAGAGCAAGAGCTCAGGATAGTTCCATTTCCAAGCACTGTAGACATTTCTAGAAAGAAAGAGGAAGCGGCTGCCTCTTTTCTCTTTATAAGCAAGGAAAATTATTTTTAAAAAGAAAAAACATTCTCACAGCACCATTTACCTCTCACCAGCAGTGACTCTGAGCGCAGTGATTGTTGGCAGTGGTAGCAGGATCTTTGGGGTTGTTTGTTCTCAGACACAAAACAGGTGACCTGACCCACTCAATGACGCCTCGCACTACCTGAGTAACTCTTTTGCATCTGATATTCATTCCATCTAACAAGTTTTTTAAATCCTCTAAGAATGGTCTCAAGAGCACACCCTGGACTGGGCTATGGGAGGATGAATACACAGGCAGAGCAGGATCCTACCTCCTGGGAACTCTGCTAAACTGAGGAAAGGAAACCCAGGAGCCCAAGTTCTAGGCACAATGCCACACACCGAGGAGAGGGAGGCCATTTCTACTTGAGTGTATGGAGACATTTGTGGAAGAACTAGAATGAAAACCAAGCCTGCAAGAGTTACAAAGATCAAATCTTATGCCCAAAGTTTGTTTTGAAAATAAACACAAATCAAATGGGAAGCGATAGCATAACCTTTCACTAGATTGGCAAGTGTCAGTATTTTGCCATAGTTGTACTCTCCATGTTTGTGAACATAAGTTGTAGATGGTGTAACCTTTCACCTGCAAGTACTTCAGCACCCATCTCCTACTTAGCACAATGCAGTTACCATAGCGAAGACAGTTTGTGTTAATTCAGTTATATCACCTAATAAGAATAATATATGGTCCATATTTCAGTTTCTGCACTTGTCCAAAAATGTCCTCTATAGCTGTTTCATTTTGTATTACTTGGGTATCTAGACTCCAGTCTAGGGTCACATACTGCATTATGTCTATTTTAATCTAGAATGTTACTATTCGATGAGTCCTATGAGCTTGCTAGAAACCCAGAATCTGGCCCCACTCCCCAGCCACTGAAGTAAAGTCTGCATTTTACAAGCTCCCCAGGTGGCCTGCATGAGCAATAAAGTTGAAGAAGCATTGATCTAATAATCTCTCCTAACCTTTGTTATTTCTTCTTCATGACCCTGAGTTTTTGGAATGGTGCAGACCAATCCTGTTGTAGAAGAGTTCACATCCTGGAGTTGTTTTGGTACTTATTCTTGATTCTGAAATATTTTTAACAAGAATAGTGCCTAGATAATGTTCTATACTTCTTATTGTAACAAGGGTAGAGGCTTAGGTCAGGTTGTCCAATTTTTGGTGATTATGTTAAGTCACTTAATTAAGGTGACAGCCACCAATATGTCCTTTCCAAAACATGTTTGTTCTTTCTCATTAAGAAGTATTCTGTGAGGTAAAACTTGGAAAACATAAATGTGCTTCAGTAGGCAGTTTTGACATTTCTTGACAATCCATGTCTACCTCACTTCATGGGTTGAGGGATGCAGATGATGATGGCCTCATCCTACCACCCTTTCCACACTTAAGACCTGCGATTTTCTGTAACGAGCTCTCCCTTGGCAGGATGACAGCAGGCTGAGGTTGGGGTAGGATATTCCAGATGGGACAAAAGAGTGAGCAGAAGCACATCCCAGGGGAAGGCAACCCAGGTGTGAAGAGAGGACTGGTGTGAGCAGAGCTCCTGTCTGACTAGACAGGGGTGCAGCAGGAAGTGGAGCTAAATGGCAAAAGAAAACAAAAGCATTGAGAGAAGAGACAGAGAGAACAAGACAACTGGGTCTTCAAACTATAGGGAGTTCCTCAGTCCATACCAGACCCGGAGTCCACCCTCGACTTCCTACAGCTATCTCTGCAGACCACAGGTGTCCTAGTTGCCTGTTACGTAATGTCTTCAAACAATTTCAAATTAATGTATGGCCCATGGACCAGCAACACTGGCTTAGCTAGAAGGTAACTAGAACCAGAATCAGAATCTGCATTACACGGAGATTCCCCAGTGCTAGGAATGCCTTGAAAGCAGGAGAAGCACTGCTTTAAGTACCTGATCTAATTCCTGCTTTCACAGAGCACATCAAACTATGAGCTCCCAAGAAAAATAGTCTTTTCACTGGGGATTTTCTATAACCTTTATTCACTTGATACCCAGATTTATCCTGCCAGATCTAGAGAGGAAACAAGGGAAAGCAATGAAGACCATACTTGAGTTTGAGTCTGTCCTCTGTGGTCTTATCACCTGTGGGACCTTTTTTAGTCATTACTCCACTTCTTGAAATCTTAGTCCCCAACCCTTGGAGTCAAGGTAAAGGTCCAATAAGATAGTTCATGTAAAAAGCAGCCTTAGGAGTAACTCTTATTAAGCTTAATCATCTTTTGTGAATGAAAAGGGGACCAAGAGATGAAGGGAGGAGAAGAGAGGGAGGGAAAGCAAAGGGAAGTAAAAAGAATTACATGTATTATGTGTGCGTACCAACTTCCCAGGATTAATGTAATCATGACGTGCTGCAAACATGTACCCATCAAAATTTAATTTTTTAAAAATGAACTTAATCATGTTAGCTTGAAAATGATAGAGATCTCCATGGCCCATGAGCCACAGCCCACCTTAAAAGACAATGTGAGGACAGAGGAGAAGGGGATATGGAACTCCCTGTGGCATATTCCAGACATGAGTTCCCTTCGGTCATTTCCAGTCACAGGGACATTTTTCATCAAAAGTAAATTTTGGAGCTGATTGCACCTCCACATCACTGCTCTGTGAAAATAAATGAGCTTTCAAGGTATTGGGGCAAATTAAACACATCATAGAACCAAGGCAGTCTCCCAAATAGCTATCATTTTCAAACAATTGCTAACACTTTCTACACAATATCTCATTATGTCTGCAACAACCCAGTGGAGAGAAGGATTGCTGACCCTCTAATCTCAGTGAATAAGGGAAATAGAAAACAGTTCTAGTGGGATGGGGACAAAACAGGCTGAATATGACCATTCTTTCCTTCATACACAAAAAGAACTTCAGTACTGTTGGGATTCGTATCAGAGACCATCAGAGACTTCAAAATGAGGAAGTGTGCTTAAGAAAGTTGAGCAGGTTGGTAACCATGGAGATGGAGTTTTCTGAGCAACTTAATGGAACTGAGACTGACAACCTGGGAGGGTCTGTTTATTTACACCTGAGTCAAATTTGTGTACTATATACTCAAAGCCAAACCACTGAGCAAGATGGTTCATACTTCCCTGGCCAGGGTCCAAATGCCCAGGTGAGATTTGGGGCAGAATTTCAAACCAGGGGACATCCTGCCAGAGAAGTGCTGGTAGATAGCACTTGGCCCAGTCGTGGAACACAAAGAGCCTTCAATAAATGTTAATAGCCATCTCCTTAGACCCTGTTTATCCACCCACACCCTCAAGTGCAAGGACTGCATAGGGAAGGGGAAAGGAGAGAGGAATAAGCTTTTCCACCTTTGGTTTCTGAAGCCAGCATCTATTATGGGACAGTGGAAAGTGCACTGGAGAATTTCAGTCCAGGTCCTGCCATTGACTTGTAAGTGCCTTGGTGTCCTCCCCCTATAAAATTAGCTTGATGGACTGAAAGATGTCTAGGTTCCTCTCTGGCTTTGACTCTCCAATCTTGTTTACCATCGGGTAGCCAGAAGAAGCTGTAAAGATTTTGTGCTCCTCACAATGAGAGCAGACACATTTTGCTCATGGATTCCCAGGCCCTGGATGAAGATTCAAGCAACAGTATTCTCTGCCACCATTGAGAGGCTTTGCATTTAACATCACCTTGTCTGAAGTTTAGAAGGTAGGAAGCACTCAAATGAGAGAGAAGCTAGTCTGTCTCTGGCCCCATATAAATTAGGTCCTTCTCCCCAATATTAGGTCATCCACCTTTGCTGCTCCAAATGCACACTCTGGGCCAGGGATATTGGTATCAACTGAGAGGTGGTCAGAAATACAGAATCCCAAGCTCTACTCAAACCCGCTGAATCAGAATTGGCACTTTAATAAAACCCCAGGTGATTCATGCCCACAGTAAAGTCTGGCAAGCACTATTTTAAAGCACTCTGATTCTTTTCTTTGACAGCTTTTGACACAATTTTCCATTCTAATTATATATTTGTCTCTTTTAAATGACTTCTTTGATGACTACATTGGTAGCACATCTTTCAATGAGCAACGTAGAACCTACCACACATCAGGGGTTCAGCCAGTGCATGTTGAATGAATGATTCTCTAGTATTTCCTCTGCCAGGATGTCTCTACTGGTGTTGCTTTTCTGTGCTCTGTCTCTGGACAGTCCCTGGGCTGCTGATGATCTTAGCATCACATTTAAATGTAAATGTTTTTCTTTGTGCAATTGCACATCCCACTAATTGATAATCATGCTTGACAGTCAGTTAGTTGCTTATTAAATTTTGAAATGTTGATTGTTGTTTACAGAGACAACACAAAGGGGAATTTTGTGATGTCAGGTTTTTCTTATAAGCTACATGTGTAATTGAATGACCACAGAGGTAAAACATTGTTAAGCTAGGTTAAGAACTTTCAGAGGAGAAAGGACCTTCCAGACCAAACTGACCTATATTCCCATAAGAAATGGAGACTGAAAAGTTTAAACTGACTTCTTCATCCCCAGATCAGTGTACCCAGGCTTTGCCTTCCAGAGACCTTTGTGATTTAATACGCCCTGCTGAGTCAGAGAAGCAATCCATTGATCAGAAGACAAGGTGTTCCAGGAAGCCAAAGGACAGAGCACCTGGGGATATGGTAGAATAAAAATGTTGACCTAAGCTGGGCTTAGGCATTCATACAGAACCCTAAGAAAATCAGGTGTAGACAGCTGCAAACTTTCAGCTTTGATAGAGGTGGGGAAGCTGTGTTTCTCCATGCAAATACCCTCTCTAGGTGTTTGTTAATATTTTAATTCAAGGCACTACAGGAGAATCAAACATGTGCAGGCCAAAAGATGAATAAGATACTTCATTCCTTCCTGGAAGGACATCTTAGGGTGACTCCATGGCTGGCACAGGAAGAAAGAGAGGAAGAAGAGAGGACAGTTAGTCTCTGAGGAATTCTGGGGTCAGGAGATCTGTGTCCCTCTATCCCTGTGGGCTATGTGCCCAGAACAGCTGATTAGACTTCCTTTAACCCTCCCGGATCCTCCAGCCAAGACGCCCTCCTTCAGCAATTTGTTCCACTCAAAGTCTTACTCATTTATGTATATATTCATGTTCATTATAGAACAAATAATATAATGTGTATTTATAAACATATAATATACATTTGCATTTATTTATGTTATGCATTTGTAAATATTTACATGCTATAGTCAGATGTAAACTTGTAATAAATCCACAAAGGGCAGTAATTCAGTTTGTTTCTTTACAATTCTTGGCATATAAACATTCAGTTAATTCAGAATTTCCAACCACAGGAGAGCTAGAAATGTACCTTCCAGGTATGTTTACAACATACTTTCGCAGACGAATCAAACATGGAAAAAACCCCACATATATTTATATAATTCACTTTATTGTTCTTATGTTTATGGAAGGGGGTAAAACTAACACATCTGGTTGGGGGAGGCAATAGATGGGAAGGAAGTGTTCCAGCCGTGGCCTCTGAACTTCATAAATTCCCTGGGTAGCTCTAGGTGAGCCATTTTATCTAGCTCAGTCCCTTGCTTCTTCTCCGTGGAATGTGGATAATAATCTTTGTTTTGTGTTTCTGATAGGTAGGTTGCCAAATAATGAGAAGGGAGCCCCTTGTGAATGGCATCAGTAAATTAATTTTTAAATGCAAAGAGTCAGATAGAGGGTAAATTCTAAATTGCAATCCAATTGGAAATGAAAAAAGTGGTTTTTTTAACTGAATGTCATCCTCATCTTGCTGTTTTCTTTCTTTTCTTCCAGGACTCCATTCTCAGCCCACCTGGCAATTCCCCCCATAAAGGAGGTAAGATCTTGGTATTAGGAGTAAATGTTTAGTGAATCATCCAGACGATGTCAAAGATGTGTTGCCCTGTTACCAAGCACTATGACTGTGCCCGACAGGAAGGCGGTGGGGCTAGAGGAGGAGTCTGGTTGGGGCAGAGCTGATCCATCTTGATTCACCCAGGAAGCCCCTGATCAATACTCCCATCCACACAAACCTCCCACCATCCCCACAAATGGACACTCTACCTGGACACCGATGGAAATGGAAAGCAGTTATTTTATGGAGGGCTTGAAACCCTAAAGTGGGCAAGCGTGTGTACTAGTCTTCCCTCAAACTTTCACCTAGGAACCTCAGCTCCTGAGCTCTTAAATGCAAATAATAGTGCTCACCTCTTTAACATACTGCAGAAACCAATCAGACCCTGTCTATAAATTGCTTGGCATAGCAACAAGCTTGTGATAATTATTAAATAACTGGTAAAAGCCAAAAGGAATGATGAACTTGAGAACTTGTAAAAACAGACTTCCTCCTCATTTTTCCAATCACTGAAATTATTAACTACATCTTGTCTCTACTAGCTGCAGAAGTGTGATATGGAGAGCTCAGTTAGTATGGAAGATGAAAAACTTGGAGATCATCTGGTTAATGTTTTTATCATTCAGAGAAGGAAAAGTAAGAACCAGAAAAAGAGAGTGAAGTGTCTTGCTCAAGGTCATATAGGGCTAAACCCAGAGGTCTTCTCTAAGCCATTCTTGTCCACCTAACAACATTATCCCCCATCTCAGTCCTATATCCTTTAGAACCTGGATAGCAAGCACAGCTGGACAACCAGACAATTCATAGGGAAAACAGAAAGGAGAAGGCAGGAGGCTGTCCCAGATACCAGGGTAGGGATACCGGGGCATCCTTGGGACCAAGATCTGCCACATCTCACACAGACATCATCATACTTGCAGTTTCCTTCGGGGTATGCTTGACCATGTATTTCCTCCTGTCTGCTACCCAGAGACTTGGAAAGTTGTGTCAAGAACCCCCAGCAGACCAGCACTCTGGATCTTTCAAAGCAGTTAAAAATCACAACTTTGTGAACCATGTCTCAACCTTGGTTGAAATTATTTAACATGTGACCTCCTTTCCCATAGTCCCTGTGTAGACAATCACATTACTGTAAAAAGGAGCAACGTAAACTGAGAAACTAAGCAAACATCTAGAATACAGTTCTAGATAGTAAATATTTTAACCTTTGTGAGCCTTTGATGTCTCTGCTGCAATTAGCACTGCTGTCACAGTTACAAATCAAGCAGACTACACACAAATGAGCAGGCCTGGCTGCAGTGGCTGTATTCCCATAAAACTTCATTCATTTACAGAATGAGGCGTGGTGACTTGGCTTTGGCTTGTGGACCAGAGTTTGGTAACTTCTGTAGTGGTAACAGGACAGGCTTTGGAGTCAGATTTCTGCATTAAGTTGTAACACACATTCCTGTAGTGCTTTGCAAAGAACAAAATGCACTGAGCCAATAAAATTCCCCCATACCCTACTCCCATCCTTCCACCATCACATCCATCTGGACTTTCCCAGTAAGATGGAACCTTTCATTTTTCTAATGAGAAAGAAGAAATCTTGAACATGGCCATGATCTCAGGGTCGTGGGTAGTTTTGATTAGGCAACAGGTCCTTAGCCATTCCTCACCTATGGAGCACCTGGATCACATAATAAAGTTTTCATCAGTCCACAGTGGAATGGGGGAAAGGGCAAATTAGGCCTTGTCCATATGGTCAGTTAGCTATACTGTGAGAGCACTTTGTCTCTGAGACTATGTCCTCCCTGCGTTCTTTGGGTGAAATGTCCTCTCTTACAGTAAGAAGTTGATTCGGATAGGACTTAAATTGACTTGCTTTCTGTCCATTTTTTAGTTCTGTATTAATTATCACAGCAGGCAAAATAAAAAGCTGCCTGCTCCACATTGGTCCTTGAATTTTCATTTTGAGGAAAAGTTCTTTAGTTCATGTAATATCCAAAACTGGTCACTGTGGACTCAGTCACTTACCAGATCCCTTCTTCCCTGGGTCATAGGTGAGAATATCACAACACGAACAAGAAACAATCTCCATTAACAATTCAATGTTTCTGCAATCAGATATTTTTAAATGCTAATAATGCTCCCCATTAAGGCTGTGAAACTTTTGTTAGAGAATGTTCCATACCTCCTCCACAGGGTTGATCTCAGCCCCAACTCTGAAAGCAAACAACATGGGAATTATTATTCTCTTCATATTCTCATTTAGAGATAAGGAACTGAGACTCAGGGAATTGGGATGCCTTGTCTGAGCTCTCACAGGAGTTAATAGCAGAGCAAGGATGGGTATCCAGGGCTCTTCCCAATGCCCCATGCATGGTGTGGTTTAGCCATGAGATACCAATGTCTTTCTGTGTATGTCCCGGTCATTCTCCTGCTTTTAATGCAAGGCAACACTGTCCTTGGATTAGCAAACTATGAAGACTGTAGTAGGGTGAGGTAGAAAGAATATCACGTTAGGGTAGGACCTGGGCTCCTGAACTGGTTTCTTGGGGCAAGTCTTTGAATTTATCTGTAGCTCAACCACAATGTACTAAATGAATTGGAAGAGTCTGTCCAGACTTGATGCTTTCTGAGACTATAATTTCATTGTCTGGTATGTAAAGATAGAAGAAGACAATCTAACAGTCCTGAGGGAATCTGAAGACCCAGCCCCCTTCCCCAACAAGCCGATCTTAAACCGGCACAAGCAGCAAATTGTCCCTTTTGGAGAAAAAGCCATTCAAGATGTTCCAGGCAGAGGAGATCCACCTTCCGAAAATTCTTGGAAGGAAGCTCCAGGGGCAGCGTGAGGCTGTCACTGGAGGGTGCAAGGCTGGAAGGTCCTAGGGAGCAGTCTGTTGCAGCAGCTGCTGGAAATTGTCCAGCATCAGCAGGAAACCAGCAGCAGCCTGAGCCTGGGATGCAGGTCCCTGCACACATGCAAAAGTAACTGAACACAGGATACACTTAACTACAGGGAAACCACAGAATACCGTGCCAATTTTGATAAGGAGTCCTACCACAAGCCTCCCATTCCTGGCCATAAAAGCATCCAGCTAACTGCAGCCTCATACTCACCCCAGTGGGCTCAGGACTCATGGACCCTTCTGGGAAAAGCTGGAGCTGTGGACCAGAACCAGAGGTGGGAGAGGAGAACTTTTCTCCATGCCCTTCTCCTCTCTGAGTCTTAATCTCTCTCATTTGGAAAAGGAAGTTCAGAATGACTTCTGCATGAAGCCACCACAGGGTCACCCTCATGGGACTGAGATACATCTCCCTCTGCCACCTGGTGGAGCCTGTATCCTTGAGGCATAGGTTTCAAGCTGCTGCTTCATATCCAAATAAAATGACCCCCTACCTCACACCACATACAGCCCGAAGCCAAGGAAGGTGGGGTAAGGACAGCATGGCTCATGCATCTTCTCTTCACTTATTCTAGCTTTCTGCTTCCACCACATTTTGAAGCCCCCACATGCTCATGGTATGTGGCTTATTTGTCCAAATCACAGAATACAGCCACCTTTGCCCTGATTCCCTGGATTTCAACAGGACCTTACATTTGTACGTAGCAAGAGCTACAGAAAAATTTAGGATATGTAGCAAGCTGCTAGGGCAGCATATTATCCCATACTGCAACCCAGCAGACAATGATGTAGAATTGAGTGTGAGCCCCCTCTGCTCATGTGAGGAAGCCCTCAGCTGTTCCAGCCACTGGCCATTTCTGAAAGGACAGCTTTTCCCTAGGTCTCAGCCCTCTGCCACATGAGCAAACCTACTCACCTTCCTACCTATGTTTATATCCTCCTTCCCATTTCCAGCCACCTCTACTTACCCTTGCAAAATCTGCAGACATTTAAATTCTGCTAACTTTATTTTGCAGAATGATTTTATGCCTTTGATCTCACCCTCAACCTTCCCAGTACTCCTTGGATCCTGTCATGATATAATACCTCACCAACCAAAAGTTGTGACCTGCGCTAGATGAATTCTGTAGATAATGTTTAAGACAGCTTCCTTGTATCGCCCTATCCAACCACTGCATATATATATATATATGAGGCCCTGACAGAATAAGAATAATGACATTAATAGGCATCCAAAAGCTGACTGAGTACTTTGTGATGTGCTCATCCAGCCTCACAACAAGCCCAAGGATCATTATGAGCCCTATTTTATCTGTAAGCAAACAGGAACACAGAGCAGCTTACTGACTTGTCTAAGGCTTCCCATTGAATCAGAAGTGGCGCAAAGTCTCAAATCCAGTCTTATCTGTCTTGAAGCCTTTCTGTTTAGCCAAGGGGTGGGTTGTGAATCACTTCCCTCCAGTGACCCTACTGCTCTCCACACCTGGAGGTCCTGCCCACAGTCCTGTACCTCCTCCACCCCAGCCCCCTACTATCTGTCTCCTCAACTCTGAAGCATCCTGTTATCTTGCTTTGTGGCAGAGAGGGCCAAAGTGGCTTCCACATGTGGGTTTGGGGGAAGTCATTTGACTCAGGGTGATTCCATCCTACTGTCGATTGGAAGAGATTTATCTTTCTGGCAAATGTCATGTGGCCTCTGACAGTCAGCTTCCCAAAGGCTCTAAGGAAACTGGAGTGGTAGATAGACCCTGTGAGGGTCCTAAGGATCCTTTCAATGTATCCTAACCCTTGCCTGAATTCTGCCTCCAGCTGAAGATGGGTAATCAAGTGCAGAGAACTGGGTTGGAATTCTGAGCACCTATAGTCCAGTCCTGAAACTCAAAGCAACTCATTCTTCCTCTCAGAGACTTGGGATTCCTATTTCTGAAGTGTTAGCAAAGGGAGTGACCAGAGGACTAATGCTGGGATGGATGTTGCTTTGAGTGTAACACTCCATTGGTCTAATAGCTTAGGATTCTTTGACCATCTTACTGTTCTAACATTTACAATTTTTACATGGTTTGGCAGGGCACCCTTCTCACCCATCTCTCT